GCCTTTGCTATTGTAACCTCTATCCTACATTATCTTTATAGCCATCATGATAGAAGATCTGTTCCAGGAAGGAGCCACCATGTCAAATTCTTTAGGCAGTTAGTGGGGGAGGTCAAATGTCCCTCAGAGAAAACAATCAAGGTAAAGAGATATATTTCAGGGTGGCCAAATCTTGATCTCCCACAAGAACAAGGACCAAATTTTAATTGTTCACCTTTGAATGCTTACACTCTAGCACAGTTGCTGGCAAAGAGCAAGCAATCATTGAGTACTTATTGATTGTTCATAATGAAATTGTTTGCAAAAGCCTGGAATGCTACTCCTCCAGTTCTTCTCCAGGCTCATCCATCAAGTCTCATCACAAAACTGACTTCGTTCCCCTGGTTACTCCTCCTCTCATCTAGGATTGTCTGTTTGTTTTCCTGCATAGCTATACTCACGATTTCTAGTTATTTAACCGAGCTGTTTATGACTTGTCTCCTACTAGCTCCCTAAGAGTAGGAACCATATCTGTTTTGTTCATTGCTCTTTCTCTAGCCTAGCAGGATACCTCACCCATAGCCTACTCAATAAATATTTGTTAAATGGATTAATAAACGGCGAGTGGGGAGGATGGAAAATTATAGTACATCATACCAGGAAGTTTTTAAAAGAATAAACTAAATCAATATGCCCTCATGTGGAAAAATGTCCATGACAGAGTAAATTTTACAAATGCAAATGGTAGAATAACCCCACTTATGTTTTTAAATGTATTTGGATATCCACAGAGAATTGTTAAAAGTGAGCTCTGAGAAAAAGGGATGGAGTACACAGGAGGCCATAGGATGAGGGAAATACTACTTTTTATTTCATACACTTCTGTATTTTATTAGTATTTTTGCAATAAGCATATTAAAGAAATTTAAGTTTGTAAAATTGTATATTAAAAGAAAATTAATGGGTCATTATTGTTAACCCTTAGCATATTTTGGGCTTACAGAGAAGGCAACACACATACAGACATGGTACAATTTTCAGAGGAATGATTCCATACTTTAACCAAATTTCCAGTGGATTCTGTGACCACAAAAAGTTCCATGGGGTAGAAAGGAATTCCCAGTGGTAGGTTATGTGGTTTTCTCCAATATACAAAGATGGCTCTCCCGTCTTACTCACTAGTTATCTTCCACCCTGCCCCCATTTTCTTGAACTGGTGGAGATCAAAATGTATGGTATATTGTTCCAAAAGATTCTATAATAAAAATTTTCTGCAACGAAATAAGTTTTGAAAACACTGCACACTATCACCAACCTCCTTTGAGATTTATAACACATTATCCATCTTTTTTTTGTGTGTGTGTGAGGAAGATCAGCCCTGAGCTAACATCCATGCTAATCCTCCTCTTTTTGCTGAGGAAGACCAGCTCTGAGCTAACATCTATTGCCAATCCGCCTCCTTTTTTTTTTTTTTTTTTTATCTCCAAAGCCCCAGTAGATAGTTGTATGTCATAGTTGCACATGCTTCTAGTTGCTGTATGTGGGACGTGGCCGGAGAAGCGGTGGGTCGGTGCGCGCTGGGGATGTGAACCCGGGCCGCCATTAACCGCTAAACGCGGGGCCGGCCGCACATTATCCATCTTTAAACATCTCATGAAGACCAGAAGAACCTGTTTCTCTCCAAACTCAGAATGCCTCGAAGACATTGGAGTATATTACACTGTTTTTTTGGCACATCTTTTAAAATCTTGTAGAACAGTGTTGCTCCAAACAACTGTTGGGGAAAAGCTACCAGAGACTATTAACCCTGGGTGCTAACTCCTCTTTGCTGCAATGGCTGTGCCCCTTACTGCTGCTGCTAA